TGATGATGGTGTCCTGATGTTGTTGTTGATGATGTTGACGATGCAAATGATGGTGACCATGATGGTGTCCCGATGATGATGATGATGTTAATGGTTATGATGACGATGGCTGTGTCCCGATGGTGAGGATGATGATGATAATGATGATGATGACTATGATGCGATGATGATGATGGCGTTGATGATAATGGCCTGATGATGATGGCGTTGATGATGATGGCGACGATGATGATGTGAAGATGACAGTGTCCCGATGACGATGGAGATGGTGGTGTTGTTGTTGATCATGATGATGACGTTGAATGTTAGATCGATTGTGATATCGGTAGTGAGATCGATAGTGAGACCGAATGTGGAACCGATTGTGAGATCGATAATCAGATCAATTGTGAGACCGAGCGAATGAGATTGATCGAGTGAGATCGATTGTGAGATCGATCGAGTGAAATCGATCGAGCGAAACCGATAGTGAGATGGATAGTGAGACCGATCGAGTGAGACGCTGCATCCTCCCCCCCCGAACCTCCTTATCACCCGAAGGGTGGTCGTATAGGTCGTAGTAGTAGTCGTAGTAGTAGTAGTAGTAGTAGTAGTAGTAGTAGTAGTAGTAGTAGTAGTAGTAGTAGTACTGAAGTAGTAGTGGCAGTAGTAGTAGTAGTAGTAGTAGTAGTAGTAGTAGTAGTAGTAGTAGTAGTAGTAGTAGTAGTAGTAGTAGTAGTAGTAGTAGTAGTAGTAGTAGTAGTAGTAGTAGTAGTAGTAGTAGTAGTAGTAGTAGTAGTAGTAGTAGTAGTAGTAGTAGTAGTAGTAGTAGTAGTATTAGTAGGTAGTAGTAGTAGTAGTAGTAGTAGTAGTAGTAGTAGTAGTAGTAGTAGTAGTAGTAGTAGTAGTATAGTAGTAGTAGTAGTAGTACAAGTAGGAGTAGTAGTAGTACAGTAGTAGTATAGTAGTAGAGTAGTAGTAGTAGTAGTGGTGGTAGCAAGTAGTAGTAGTAGTAGTAGTATAGTAGTAGTTAGTAGTAGTAGTAGTACTAGTAGTAATCGTCGTAGTAGTAGTGCAGCTAGTAGTAGTAGTAGTAAGTAGTTTAGTAGTAGTAGTATAGTAGTAGTAGTAGTAGTCGTAGTATAGTAGTAGAAGTAGTAGTAGTAGTAGTAGCAGTAGTAGTAGTAGTAGTAGTAGTAGTAGTAGTAGTAGTAGCAGTAGTAGCAGCAGTAGTCGTAGTAGTAGTAGTAGTAGTAGTAGTAGTAGTAGTAGTAGTAGTAGTAGTAGTAGTATTAGTAAGAGTAGTAGTAGTAGTAATAGTAGTAGTAGTAGTAGTAGTAGTAGTAGTAGTAGTAGTAGTAGTAGTAATAGTAGTAGTTCGGCTCTCAGAATCTTTCAGAATCTCTCAGAATTTTTCCGAATCTCTCAGAATCTCTCAGAGGCTCGCAGTGGTTCTCAGAATCTTTCAGAATCTTTCAGAATTTTTCAGAATCTCTCAGGATCTCTCAGAATTTTTCAGAATCTTTCAGAATCTGGCAGAATTTCTCAGAATCTCTTAGAATCTTTCAGAATCTCTCAGGGGCTCGCAGTGGCTCTCAGAACCTTGCAGTGGTCGGAGCTTTTCAAAGGCTCCAAAGTGGTTGGGATCTCACGCGTCCCACGTGTCCTTGACGGTTGGGATCTGAACCGTCCGGGTGGGATCTCACGCGTCCGGTTGGGATCTGAACCTTTCTCATCTGTGTGAGGGGTGTCGATTTCGAGCCCCCCCAGCAATTCAGACAACGCGCCCAGGAGGTGCTAAATGTCCGGTTTTGGGCCTCCCCCCCCTCGCGCGGTCAATCAACTAGTTACAGTAACCAGCAATAAGCAGAACTGTAACACTGGAAACTACAAGCTACAACTGGTACAGGAAACTGCGAATCCCGCGCCTGCAGCCTGGTGGCCCCACAAGGGGGCCGGCGGACACATATATATATATATATATATATATATATATATATATATATATATATATAGATAGATATATCCCTGGGGGCGAGGCCGGGGGCCCCAGGACAGGTGCCTCGACCCCCCATGGCGGGACGGGGGGGGCCTGGAGCCTCCCTGGAGCAGCCCAGGCGGCCCAAGAGTGCCCCAAGAACGCTCCACGACAGGCCCAGCAGGCTCCAAGAGGCCCAAAAGGGCGCCAAGAGGGCCCCAAGATACCCAAGATAAGCCCAAGACGGCCAAAGAGGCCCCCAAGACGCTCCAAGAGGCCTCCAAGAGGCCCCCCCAGAGGGCCCCAAGAGGCCAACATCGTTAGTTTTTCGAAGGTTTTGGACACATTTTACTTCTCCCGCCTTCTCAGCTTTCCGACGCTCCACGACAGCTCAAAGGCCCCCCGCGGACGCCCCAAGAGAGCCCAAGAGGCCTCCAAGAGGGGCTCAAGACGGCTCTGGAGGGCCCCAAGACGGCCCAAAACGCGCCCAAGACGGGCGAAGAGAGCCCCAAGACGGCCCAAGCGGGCCCCGAGTCGCCGAAAGACCGTTCCAGGACGCCCAAGATAGGCCCAAGACGGCCCGAGAGGCCCCCCAAGGCATTCCACGACGCTTCCAGACGCCTCTCCAGAGCGCTTCAAGAGGCCGAAATCGTCAATTTTACGAAGGTTTTCGAACGATTTTGGCCTTCCAGCCTTTTCGGCTGTCCGACGTTCCAAGACGGCTCAATAGGCCCCCAAGAGCGCCCCAAGACGGCCCAAGAGGGCCCCAAGAGGGCCCCAGAGTCGCCCAAGACAGCCCAACAGAGCCCCAAGACGGCCCCAAGATGCGCCCAAGACGGGGACCACGACTCCAAAATTCGATCCTCCGGCTTGAAGAGTGCGCCAGGAGGCCCCAAGGAGCCCCCAAGAGGCCCCAGGAGGCATCCAAGAGGCACCCAGGAGGCCCAAACGAGGCCTAAAGAGGCCACAAGACAGCCCCGAGGAGGCCCCACAACGGTCCCAAAACGGCTACCGAGAAACTGCGAAACTGCGAAACTGCCTTCACGACGTCCCCGACAGGCCAACCACGAGATCCAAACCAACACCCATGAGGCCTCTGACCCACCACCCAGGGCACGGTGGCGGGAGCAGTGACAGCACTTGTGCACAGCATGTTCCGGCGGGAGCCTTCCGGAACACGCTGCAGGAGGAGGAGGAAGATCAGGAGGAGAGAGAGCTGGAGTGGGAGGAGGAGGAGGGGGACGAGGAGGAGGAAGAGGTCTCCAAGACAGCTCCAAGATAGCCGAAGAGGCTTACACGAGGGCCCTGGGCGGCCCACGAGGGCCCCAAGGCGGTGCCCGAGGCGCCCAAGACGGCCCGAGAGGGCCCCAAGACGGCCCCAAGAGAGGCCCAAGGAGGGAAGCACGAACCGAGAATCCGAGCTTTCTACCCCGAGAGGTTCTCGGGAAGTCCCAAGAGACCCCCAATCGGATCCAAGAGGCCTCCAATAAGCTCCCAAGAGGGCCGACGAGGTTCCAAGAGATCTCCCAAGGTGGCCCCAAGAGGCACAACTCATTGTTTTACGATTGGGCTTTGACGGGTTTTAATTTTTTCGGCCTTTTGGCATCCCGATGCTCCAAGACGGCTCAAGAGGCTTCCAATACCGTTACAATATAGAGGAAGAGGCCTCCAAGAGGGCCCCAAGACGGCCCGCGAGGGCCCCAAGACGGTGCTTGAGGCGCCCAAGACGGCCCGAGAGGGCCCCAAGAGCCCCAAGAGAGGCCCAAGAAGGGGAACGCGACCCAACAGCAGAGCGTTCCCCCCAAAAGACCCACAGGAGGCCGCAAGAGGCCCTCAAGTGGTCCGACGAGGACGCCAAAAGCTTCCCGAGCCCAAAAGGCCCCCAGGAGACGTCCAAGAGGTTTTAGAATAGCCCAAGAGTGCCCTCGATGCGTCAAAACTGCTTCCAGGAGGCCCCCGGGAGGCTTCCGGATTGCCTCAATTTGGCCGCAGGTGGCCTCAAGTCGGGCCTCCACGCAGCCAAGACGGCCAATGACGGCTTCAGATTGCAGAACGAAGCATGCGGAACACCCCAGAAGCTCCTCAGATGCCGTCGCGCGCCTGTGCTTGATAGCGACGTCCAAGATCGTCCAGCGCCCCCCCGGCCTGGGCTGGAACCTGAGCGCGCGCGAAGCGCGCGCGATGGTTCCAGTATATATATGCATCTGTGTCCGCACATGGATGTGTATATGTTGATGTATACGTATATGTACGTGTATGTCTAGGTTTGCATATGTACGTGCGTGCCGATTGCATGTATGCATGCATGCATGCATGCATGTACGTATGCATGCGTGCATGCATGCATGTATGCATGCATGCATGCATGACTGCCTGTATGTGTATGTATGTGTCTGGATACATATTTAGTTGCATGTGCATGCTTTCAGATGTATGCATATGCATGTGTACATGCATGCATGTCTGCATGTAGGTAGGCAGGTAGGTGTGTGCATGCATGTATGTATGCATGTGTGTATGTGTGCATGCATGCATGCATGAATATATGTATGTGAGTATATAGCTACCCGAGCCCGGGGCTATCGCAGGTTTTTGTTTTCACTGCCTTGCGGTCAGCTTCGTGTGGGATGCGCGATGTCACCAGGGAGACAGCGGCGATGACGGTTCCGCGGCAGGACAGCCTGCCGACTCCATAGTCGCATCTCTAACGTTGGCATCGCGTCATGGGGGTCTTGATTTATGAAAAGTATGTGGGTATATGTACGTGCGCAGAGGCATATCCAGAAAACTGCGTATATGTATGTGCTGGTGTCTATATATATATATATATATATATATATTTATGCACACCTATGTACACACGCTATCCCTTCATAGTTATCAATTTCCCTCTCTGTAGCCATTTTGGCTCAGGGGTCGCCGTGACGAGGCGACCTCGCGCCGCGGGTGACCACGCCTCGGCACTAGTCGCGCGCACACCACCGAGGCTCACGCTTGTTCCTACGATAGGACGGTGGTCTGCTGTTGTGGGGGTTCGGACCAGGTCCTCGAGGACAAGATCAAGGTGTTCGGGGGCGGATGCCTCACCAATGGCCACGAGGCGAGGAGGCACCAATGGCCGGCGCCCGCCAGCGAGCGGGAGGCGGACGTCCGGGCTTCGATGCCGCCCTTCAGCTTCGCCAAGGGGGTGTCTGTCCCCGAGTTTCGTGAAACCGTGCAACGTACCAGCCTATGGCCCGAACATCTCCAGCGCGGTGATGGACATCTTCACGCTGGAAGAGATCAAGAAAGCACCCGAGAGCCTGAAGGTCCCAATCCCTCCCTGCAATCTCAGCAAGTTCATTCAGGACAAGGCTGTAAAGGTCCTGAGCATGGTTGAGTACTGCGAGAAAATGCCAGCGAGTGCCCATAATAATGCTGGTGCCACGCAGAAGCTGAAAGCCTTCATCGACCACCACCGTGGCCGACTGGGAGGCGTTTGTGAATCGGCATGCGAAGCCGGGCGGGCAGGCCAAATGACATTTCGACCACTTGCTTGATAATTTCGGTTTCGGTAAAGAGGCGTCAAACGTCCTCAGGAAGACTGAGTTCGAAAAGGCCGATGGCGAGAAGGTTAATTTCGAGTAGCACGCGTTCCGCTGGCTCAGCAAAGCGTTTGGCGCCTACGGCCCCGAGGGGGCTCTGACCGATATTGTCATTTTGACGTTTGCAATGGCGGGGAAGGATTTCGAGGGCCTCATAGACATCCAGATGGCAGACGGGACCAAAGAGCTCTGCTTCACTACCTCTCCCAGTTGAAGGGTACGGAGTCAACATTTAAGTTCCTCATTCAGATCCCGAATGTTCAGAGCTCGATTCCCTGGCTCAGACGTGGGGAAGCAATCGCAACTGCGCGATTTGGCGCGATCCTGACGCGCGCAATGAAAAGGCTTTGACGCGGCTGAATTTCGGGAAGAGCGTGGCTGGGGCTCTGTCCTAGATGTATCCGGATGGCTTCTCCCTACCCTGTGACAATAACGAGTTCGGTTCAAAGAAGTCGCCTAGGCAAATTGCGATGCGTGGCTTTGCTGACCTCGACTGCTGGTGACTGGGTAACTTGAAAAAATCATGTTGAATTTCCCTCAGACCCCTCGCGCATATTTGCAGAGTCACCCCCACACGGATCCCCCCCTTCAAAGCCCCCCGCTAGAGCTCAAGATGGCCCCAGACAGTCGCCCACGAGGGCCCAATATGGCCCGAGGAGGGCACGAAGACGGCCCTAAGAGATTCCCAACGTGTCCAAAAAATACAATAAACGGTCACAGGTGGTGCGCAAGATGGCCGTCAAGACCCCCAACACGGCCCAAGGTGGCGCCCCGCAAACGCAGTCAAGAGGCCGATATCGTTTTGGGGTGCTCGCCTGTTCGGGTGTCGAAGCTCCCAGGACGGCCCACGAGGCTCCCAGGATTGCCCCAAAACGGCATGAAAGAGTTCAATGCGCCCCAAACAAGATGCCCAAGACGACCCAAGAGGGTCCCCGAACGCCCCAATTGGGCCTGAAGACGCCCCCAGACGGCCCGCGGATGGATTCAAGACAGCCCAATACGGTTTCAAGGAGCCTAGGAAAACTCGCAGATGGCCCCAAGGCCCAAGGGGTAGAACCACTTCGCCCGCGAACCGCTTCGCCTGGACCGCTTCGCCTCGACCGCTCCGCCCGGGCCGCTTCTCCCGCGGGCCGCTGCGTCCTAAAACTGCTCGTCCCTCTCGGTTTTCGCTCCCGTCTTTTTCGCCCCCGCCCCTGGCACGCCCGTCAGTTCCGCCGCGCACCGCCAGGGCGCGCGTCCCCCCGGCCCGCCCGCCAGGGTCCGCCCGCCCGACCCGCCCGTCGAGGTCCACGCGCCCGCTTGCTTGCAGCCCTGCCGCTCGCGCCAGCGGTCTTGGCATTGCTCGGACGTGCATTTTTCCTTCGGCGAGGACCATCGAGGAGCATCCTTGATCATTTCGCGAAAAAGCCACGCACGAAACCGAACAAAAACACAGGGAATGGACGTCCGAGCGATGGCCAGGACCCGCCCGTTAAGGTCCACGCGCTCGCTTGCTTGCAGCCCTGCCGCTCGCGCCAGTGGCGCCGCCCGCGCGACCCGCCCGTGGGGGCCTGCTCGCCCGACCCCCGCCTGTCGGGGCGCGCCCCCGCCCGACCCGCCCGGGAACGCCCAGCGCCACCGAGGCGCTTTCGTGCAGACCGCTGGGGCAGCCGCGGGGCCTCCTCCTCCTCCTCCTCCTCCTCCTCCTCCTCCTCCTCCTCCTCCTCCTCCTCCTCCCCCTCCTCCCCCTCCTCCCCCTCCTCCCCCTCCTCCCCCTCCTCCTCCGCCTCCTCCGCCCCGAAAACACCAGCAGGCCGTGCGGGGGAGGGGGTCGACGACGACGGCAGCGCCGACGAGGAAAGGCAAGCAGGACGACGAGGGCGACGAGGACGAGCAGGCTCGGCAGCACGACGAGCACGACGAGCGCGGCGACCACGGCGACCAGGAGACAACGACGACGACGAAAACGACGACAACGCCGGCGGCGTGGATGACGTCGTCGACGAGAAGGGCAAGCATGACGACGAGGGCGACGAGGACGAGCAGGCTCGGCAGCACGACGAGCACGGCGACCACGACGACAACGATGACAACGCCGGCGGCGGGGACGACGTCGACTTTGACGGCGACGACGACGAGGGCAAGCAGGACGACAAGGGCGATCAGGACGAGAATGCTCGGCGGCACGACGAGCACGGCGACCACAGCGACCAGGCGACAACGACGACGACGGAAACGACGACAATGCTGGCGGCGGGGACGACGTCGACGTTGACGACGGCGACGACGACAAGGGTAAGCAGGACGACGAGGGCGACGAGGACGAGCAGGCTTGGGAGCACGACCAGCACGGCGACCAGGCGACAACGACGACGACGAAAACGATGACAACGCTGGCGGCGGGGACAACGACGACGAGAAGGGCAAGCATGACGACGAGGGCGACGACGTCGACGACGGCGACGACGACGAGGACGACGACGACCAGGTCGACGACGGCGGCCAGCCAGCGGAGCGGCCCGCTGGCGAAGCGGCCCCCGCGAGAAGCGGTCTGCGGGCGGAGCGATCCCCGGCGAAGCAGTCCGCCGGCGAGGCGGTCTGCGGGCGCAGCGGCGGTCCGCTGGCGCAGCGGCTCTCTTGCGGAGCGGTCTGGCCACGCGCAGAAGGGGGTAGGGGGGGGGAAGGCTTCTTAGAAGCACCCCTGCTTCGTAGAAGGCGCGGGCCTTCCTTGTAGATGCAAGGCCGGCGCCTTCTAAGAAGCAGCCTACTTCTAAGAAGCCCTCCCCCCCCCTACCCCCTTGATTTGGAGGAAAAGAAACACACAGACACAATGAATCCTCGATTCCCCAGAAAATATGGAAAAATGTGGGAAGTGGGGGGGAAGACAGAAGCCCAGAACATATGGGAAAATATGGGGAATATTCTTATATTTGTATGTATTTATTTGTGTGTCATGGGGCTCCTTCAATTGTGCGCGCCGCGGAGCGGTCTGCGGTCAGAGTCGCCTCTCTGGCGGAGCACTTTGCCGGCGGAGCGGCTCTGGCGGAGCCGTCGGCCGGCGCAGCGGCCCAGGGCGGCCCGGCCGGGGGGGGCCAGTGAGAGAGAGTCCGAGCCGGGAGGGGCCCCGAGAGCTCCCGCGAGGGCGCCGGGTGGGCCCCAAGAGGAGGAGGAGGAGGAGGAGGAGGAGGAGGAGGAGGAGGAGGAGGAGGAGGAGGAGGAGGAGGAGGAGGAGGAGGAGGAGGAGGAGGAGGAGGAGGAGGAGGAAGGAGGAGGAGGAGGAGGAGGAGGAGGAGGAGGAGGGGAGGAGAGGAGGAGGAGGAGGAGGAGGAGGAGGAGGAGGAGGAGGAGGAGGAGGAGGAGGAGGAGGAGGAGGAGGAGGAGGAGGAGAGAGGAAGGAAGGAGAGAGGAGGGGAGGAGCACGAGACAGAACGAGGAGGAGCGCGAGGGGGGCGGGAGCAGGTCGGCGGCCACCCCGGGGGGACGCGAGAGGGGGCGGGCCTGCTCGGAAGGCTCGGAGGTCCTCCGACCTCCTCGGAAGTTTTCTGGGCCTGCGCCGAAGGCGCAGAGAGCTTCTCAGAAGGCCAGGGGGCTTCTGAGGAGCCCCGCCGCTTGCTGAGGAGGCCTCCTCCTCCTCACTTCCCCTCTCCGCTCGCCGCCGAGCAGGGACGATGCCCCGTGCATTCTTACTTCCTGCTGCGTCCTCCCTGTCGCCATGCGCACCACAGTTGCGAAGGCCTCACGGCCGGTGCCGCCGACCCTGAAGGCAGGACCTCCCCCGGGACTCCCGCTGGTGATCCCCCCCAGGAGCCTTGAGACGGGGGTCAATGCAAACGGGGGTCAGTCAGAGCGCCGGATCTTGCAGGATCCTGCAGGGACAGGGTCGCATTGACCCGGGTTTGGGTGCAGGATCCTGCAGGATCGTGCAGGATCCTTCGCATTGACCCGGGTTTAGGTGCAGGCTCCTGCAGGATTTGCAGGATTCTGCAAGGCCTGATTGACCCGGGTCTGGATTGACCCGGGTCAGAAGATCCCCGACCCGCCCGGGGCCCGCCCGGACCCTGGGGTGGGTGGCATTCTGACACGGGACCCTTCTCCACCCCCTCCCCCCGGCAGAGAAGGGATAACGGGAATGGGCTTCCTTTCGACTTAACTACGACGTTCCTTTTCTTGGTTCCTCAATTCCTTGGGACTGACGACTACTACGGCGGCGGCGGCGATGACGACAGCGTCTTCCACACGCCAAAGGGTTGGCGGATTTTCAATAACACCCACAACCCAACCTCAAGGCGTTGCGCGTCATTGTATTGCCACACGCAATGGCAGACGGAGGAACTGAAGACACGCAGACAGACTTCACGATAGCCCCAGATATGCCCAACACAGCCCAACACTGGCCAACATTGGCTCATGAGGGCCGAAGAGGCCTTCGACGGAATCCGAGATGGCCCAAGAAGGCTTCCAGGGAGCCCTGAGCACTCCCGCAATGCGCACTCGCAAACACAGGTGCCCTGCGAGAGCCCGAAGAGCCCGAGATCGTTCCGACGTGGCCCCGAAGGCTTGCGAATGTAGAGAATCAAAGCGGAACCGTGCATGGTAGCAATGGGCGTCAAACCGACTCCAAACGAGCGGCACGATTGCCCCGCCACGGCGGGGGAAGAGGAGAAGGTGAGGGAAGGAGCAAACGCAAACGGAACACGGCGAGGAGGACAAAGACGAAGACGATCCCACCTGCCTGCCCGCATCGCCGACTCGTTTTCCAGCCCTTGCCTCTTCATCCTTGCTCTCCCGCCCCCCTTCCTCGCCCTTCTTCCTCGTCCTCCGGGCTCGAATGGTGCTGCTGGCAGATGTATCAGACGATTTTTTGTCAGGGTTGCATCTGCGAAGGCGCCAGGGCTCCTGCGGGTACCGTCTCGCAGTGGCGATCCCTGCACCTTCTGAAGGGCTCGCTGTCTACTTTGCTTCCCCTTCCCGCCCCG